ACACACACACACACACACACACACACACACACACACACACACACACAACTCGGAGACTATCCTTCAAGAAATAAATTAAAGCTTCTCAAATCTATTACAATAAAAGGGCAAAGATAGAAAGAATCCACCCATCTCAGGAAGGTCACAGGCCAAATCCAGAGCTCTGTCCAGAAACCAGTTAAAGAGCCAAGAATCTTGGGGTCCCACAAGAGTGGTGGCTGCCACTAGAGATCAGAGATCTGGGGATACAATACTCCAAATGACAAAAAACCACAGGCGTACAATCATGAGGAACTCATCCTGCAAAACGGACTATACAACCTGTGAGAGGACCTTTAGTGAACTACTAATGAAAAGCCAGCGCTGCACAGAATGACTGGAACACACCTAATCTGTGCAGCTTTACACACACTGGGTCCTTAAGCTCCATCAGGACAGCGCTGCCCAGAACTGTGGCACAGGGCCTACTGCACAGCAGGCGCTTATGTAACAATGGGTGAACTGAAAGAACTACGGCCACACGTGGCACACACAATTTTTTTTATAATTATTATCACTAACATTTACATAGCACTTCCAGGTTTACCAAGAGCTTTATAATAAAGCAGGTGCTATTATCTTCCCTATTTTACAGATGAAGAAACTGAGGCTGAGAGAGGTTCAGTGACTTAGCTAATGTGACTGAGCAAAATCAAACTCTGAGGTAAAGTCCAACACTCTATCCATTCCATCTACACTAGCTGTGATGGGGATATCTATTTTAAAGTCAAAAAATAAAAAAACAAAAAACAAAAAAACCTTAAGTCTGCTTCTCAGACATAATGTTAATACAATCACATAAAATCAATTACGGCTTCAAGAGATGTGTAAAACTGCCCAGTCCAAATCTAGATTAGTGACAAAACCAAGCCTAAGGATTGTACTGCTACTTTTCCCTTTTGCTTTTCTGGTCTAGATCTGTGATTTCATATGCCTCAATATAACCAGGAACTCTGTCTTTTACATATTGCTAACATTCTGTGGCAACAACTTGAATAAGCCGACCTTTATCTGAAATTTCATCACAGGATCATAGACTGAGAGTTGGAAGGCACTTTGGAGGTGACCAAATTCCACACCCTCATTTTACAGATGACAAAACAGATCCAGGTTTGCACAATTAGTACGATCTGAACCTGTGCATCAGTTTGGCTTCCAATATCCCATACAGATAAACAAAAAAAAGGTCACAATACAAAATTCTGGAGATACCAGAAGATAAGGACCTCTCAAATCAAGCAACCAAACATTGATTAGGTACTTACTGCATGAATATCACTGTGACAGACATAAACAGACCTTGTCCTCAAGAACCTTACATTCTAACACCAGAAAATACACAAGTGCCTAAGTATGCAAAAAATAAATACATACTAAAGAGTAAATGAGAGGTAATTGGCATATGGAGCCAGTACAAGATTGGGGGAGGAGGTAATCATGGTGTCTGAACTAAGTTTTGAAGATAATTAGAGATTTTAAGAAGAAAGGAAGAGAGAAAATGCATTCATTCCATGCTTGTGTAAAGGCACACAGATGGGGGATGGAACGGTTTGTGTGAAGAACAGCAAAAAGTGGGCTTCCAGCTAAGACGGTGACATGAAAAGACATGGCGGAACCAGGCCTGTCCACTATGTCCTAGCCAATATGCGAAAAGGTACTAGATACAACAACAAAAAAGAACTGGAGAAAAACAAAAAGAAACTCTTACATCCAGTCCAGGACTGCAATAAAAGCCTATCAGAAGCCCAGGGAAAGGGCATTCCTGACTGCAGCCCTGGGCAAGTCACAACCTCTCAGTACTCTAGGCAATTCTCTAATTAAAATGAAAAATTGCAGAGAAGGAACCACCTAGCACTGGTAGAGGGAGATGACTTAACTAGGATCCCCCAGAACAATGAAATCACAGGTCCACTCCCTACACCATTACTTTCTTAACATCATAAACAGTATCTATCTAAAAAGCAGTGCTAGCCTTATCTGTCCCTAAGATGAGGGATAAAGAAACGAAAGTCACTGTAACCACTATTATTTGATGGAGATCTAGAAATGTTAACCATAGCAATATAAGGAAGGGACAAAAGAAATCCCATTCAAAATAACTACAGAAAGTATAAAATACCTAGGAGTCTACCTTATAAATACCAACAAAGAAATTAAATGAAATCAACTATAAAAGTAGTTGGAGAAATAAGACTTAAATAATTAGAGTTTTATCAATTACTCTGAATTGGGTAATGCCAACATAATAAAAATGACACTGTTACCTAAATTAACGTATAGATGAAATCCCATATTAATTGAACTCTAAAAAACTGTACGGTACCAAAGATATTATAAAATACATGCATGTAGAGTAACAAAACGTCAAGAATCTAAGGGAAAAGATGGGAAAAGGACGTAGTAGCAAGAGATCTCACATTATATTACAAAACAGAAATGATCAAAACTATTTGGTACTGGATAAAAAGAAGCAAAGTTCATCAGCAGAACCCTAGACCTAGAAGGAAGGAGATTAGTAAAGTAGTGTTCAATAAAACCAAAGACTCTAAATAGGGACGTAAGGATTCACTATACAATAGAAACTGCTGAGAAAATGGCAATAGGGCAAATTTAGATTTAGAGTTTTAGACCAATAACTCACACCACAGACCACAATAAATATCATAATCAAAGGAGCAGGGAAAGAAATACCTTTAATAAATATCTAGAAAAAGAGT